TCCCACCATGCTGTCTCAAAGGGTAAAAGATCCTTCCTTTTTACAGCTGCATAGTATTCCATGAAGTAAATGTCTGAGAAGATGCTTGATATGATTTCAAACTTCTTGAGCTTGTAGACACTTGTTTTGGGTCCTACCACTTTGTCTATCTTTGAGAATGTCCCACGTGCACTTGAGGAGACTATATATTCTGCAGCTTTGGGGTGAAATGTTCTGTAAATGTCAATTAAATCCATCTGATCTAGTGTGTCATTTAGAGTCATGGTTTCCTTCTTGATTTTTTTTGTCTGGAAGACCCATCCAGCAAAGTCAGTGGGGTGTTAAAGTCCCCTATTACAATTGTATTGCTGTCGATCTCTCCCTTAAAGTCCTCCAAAAGTTTTTTCCTTTTCAGCCTATGTGAGTCTTTTGTTCTGAGGTGGGTCTCTAGTAAACAGCACATATTTGGCTCATGTTTTCTTATCCATTCAGCTACCCTATGTTTTGATTGGAGCATTTAATCCATTTATATTTAAGGATATTATTGATAGGTACTTATCTATTGCCATTTATTTCTTTATGCCTATGTTTCTGTTTCTCTCTATTTCAACGTCTTATTATAGCAGTCCCTTTAACATTTCCTGCAATGCTGGTGTGGTGGTGATAGACTCCTTTAGCCCTTTTTTTAAAATCTGGGAAGCTCTTTATTTCACCAGCTACTTGGAATGATAGCCTTGCTGGATAGAATAGTCTTGGTTTCAGATCCTTGCTTTGCATTACCTTGAAATACTTCATGCCATTCTCTTCTGGCCTGTAGAGTTTTCTGATGAGAAATCAGCTGACATACTTATGGGAGCTCCTTTGTAGGTAACAGATTGCTTTTCTCTTGTTGCCTTTAAGATTCTCTCTTTGTCTTGAATTTTTGGCATTTTAATTATGATGTGTCTGGATGTGGGTCTCTTTAGATTCTTCTTGCTTGGGACTCTCTGTGCCTCCTGAACTTGTGTGACTTTTTCCTTGACCAGGGTAGGGAAATTTTCTGCTGTTATTTCTTCAAACAGGTTCTCTAATCCTTGCTTACTTACACCTCTTCTGGCACTCCTATAATGTGAATATTGTTATGTTTCATGTTGTGCCACACCTCCCTTAAACTGTCCTCCTGTTTTTTAATTGTTTTTTCTTTTTTGGTTCTCTGATTTTTTTCTACCGTCTTCTAATTCACTGATCTGATCCTCAGCTTCCTCTAATCTGCTGTTTATGCCTTCCAAAGTAATTTTTATTTCTACTATGTCAATTTCCTTCATAGTTTCCACACCTTTTCTCATGCTGTTGAATATCCTTATGATCAGTAGTCTGAACTCTATATCTGACAGATTGCTTATCTCCATTTCACTTAGCTCTTCTTCTGGAGAAGTCTTGTTTTTTTACTTGGAGCTTGTTTTTTTTTTGTCTTCCCATTTTGGTTGCCCATTTGAATTTGTTTCTATGTATTAGGTAGATCTGCTAGGACTCCCAGTCTTTTAGAAGGTCTCTGGTGCAGGCCAATGTCAGATGCTGTTTGTGACTGGCCTTAAGTACCCTGTTTTAAGATTTCTCCACTTCACAGCTTGTGGTTCCCTCTGCTGGGGCCCTATTTTTATTTTATTTTAAATGCAGTATAAGATTCTACTATATAATGTACCTCCATGTATTTTGTTCTTTCCCTGACTTCAGGATGGTTAAATAGTAAACCCTTTTTTGCTATTAGAAAGCATTCAAGATATATCTTTGTATGGGTATCTTTGAGCTTTTCCAGGGAGAAATCTAGACATGGAGTTGCTGTGCCATTGGAACATGCACCTTCGCCTTACTAGGTATTGCTAAGTTGCTGTCCAAAGTGGCCGTACTAGTTTTACACACTCCCATAATTGTTGTAGGAATCCCTACCTCTTGGCCCAAACTTGGTAATGTGGGACTTCATGATATTTGCCAATCTGATGAAGATAAAATGGTATCTTAGAAAATTATTTTTTATTAAAAAAAAACAACCTGATAGGGAATGATCCATCCCTTCCCTCAACTTTTCACTACTTTCTTGTGCAGTCATTAAGAGTGAATTCTCAGAAGCATTATATCAGTAAGTATTTGGATGTTCAGATTACACAGATGTGATAAAGAAAAGAACATATTTCTGGATTCCAAGTTTCCCTAGGCCTGTCTTTTGTCTCATTCAACTTTGTCCCAGCCCTGTGCGCCAAGCCTGGCAGAAGGTGGCATTTCTAAAATCGTTGACTCAGTGGGGTATATCATCTTCTTTTTGGGGCATCAGAATGAGGGGTAGTGCATGCTCTTATAAGGTTTAAATAATAAATACATATAAAAAGTACTTTAAATGTAAAACTTTGACAAAGGTATTATTTTCACATGTGCATTGCAGTTGCAAAGAATTCTTATGAGAAAAATTTCAGTGTGCTCTATGTAAAGCTTGAAAGTTAATAATTATAATAGCTCCTGCTTATGTATATTTGGTACCTTCTGCATGTCAAGGACATGAGAAAGAAAAGAGCAGTCCTTGACACCAGGGAACTAATTTGACACTTACAGCTAAAAGTCTCAGTGTTTTTAGAAGCTAGCCTGACACTCACAGCTAGGCCATGTTGTTCTCTGCATGGACATAAACAACTTTACAAAACACCAACACCAGATAAGGTCACTGTGACTGTGAAGTGAGACAGAACAAGGCTACTAACTTTCACTAAGTACAGACAATAACAAGGTCAATGTGCAAATCATAAAATACCAAACACCCCCTCTCCCCGATACTATGAATGAATGCTGCTGCTTTGTCAGTTACAGCTTTAGCCTCGTTCTCTAGCCTGCCATCCTTCCAGATAAGATTTATTAAGATACCCAATCATTGAACTGTCCCCATACATGACTGGAATCTAGAGTAACCCTCTGGAGCCATTCTGCTTCTGAGGGGTTTCCTAAAATCACCTAATCAAAGTCCAAATCCTTCAAGTCCTTTCTAGTACCCTCTTACTGAGAAAGCCCATGGCTCTCCACAGTGCATGTTCTCATTCCCTGTGAGTAATAAACCCCATTTATTCAACGAAATGTGTTCCTCCTGGTGGTCTCTGGTGGGAGGGGCTTTCACAGACATGTCTAAAAACTTTACCTATGCTATATCATTTAAGCTTGACAGTACCCTATTTGTTAGGCATTGTTATCATCCCCCTCCCCTTTTTTTTCAGATGGAAGGGCAAAGAAAGTTTAATATCATCTCCAATATCACATAGCTATTAAATAACAGGAATTTGCATCTGGGTCTAACAGTCATCAAGACATTACAGAGCCCAGCTGGTGTTGCTCAGTGGTTGAGCATCCACTTACGATGCAGAAGACTATGGTTGGATTCCCGGTCAGAGCACATGCCTGGGTTGTGGGCTAGATCCTCAGCAGGGGGTCTGCAGGAGGCAGCTGATCAATGACTCTCATCATTAATGTTTCTATCTCTTTCTCTCCCTCTCCCTTCCTCTCTCTGAAATCAATAAAGACATATTTAAAAGAAAAATAGAAAGATTAAACCTATGTAAATGGTTTTTCTGGAAATTATCTCTTATACTATTTTAAAGGGGGGTGGAATGGCATCTTTGTTTATAGGACAATGTAAAAAAAAGACATTAGGAACTGTTCACAATTCTGCTGACCTTGCTGTTCTCCTGATCTTTCTCCTAAAGACGAGCTACTCTTTGAGGGCAGAGACTGGCATATAAAGTCTGGTACAAAAACAAACCACTCCACCTCCCCCAAAACTGTAGTGTCAAGACTTAGTTGGAACTAAGTCCTATTTTCTGAACCTTTGTGCCAGTATCCCTAGAGTTGCTAGAGTTGTTTCCTGAACCTAGATCACTACTGCATGTTTACCAGGATCTTGGCCCACACCACCTCCAGGTAGTCAAGAGATGGACAACTTAAGGAAAGAGTTCAAATAAAGGATGACTTTTAAACAGGGAAGAAGCACGCTGACGAGGAGATAAACTGCTTTAGTCTTATAATTGGATCTTGGGTGTACACAACAAATTCTTTTGCATGGTTTCAGCTCCGGGCCCTTTATTATATGCCCTGGAAGTCTTCTTCAGTTCTATGCTCTTGACCCCTCTTGGCCTTGCTCCCGCCAGGATGCCTTCTATCGGATTGCCCCACCACTCTTTTCTGTCTAAAGTCTATGCATTCTTCCTTTCACCTTTCCAGATCTGCTCCTTGATTTAATATCTTCCATCTTTGTTCTCAATGAACTTTTAAAACAACTGCTATAACATTTATATTATTTTGTTATAATGGTTTGGGCACCACATTGGACTGTCAGCTCCATAAGTGCTGATTTTTGTGGACCCCCTCTGCCACCCAGGTGGGCTCCCAGACACTCAGCAGTCGCTCAGTCAATACGTCGAGAGAGCATTTTTTTTAAGCGTCGGGGGCGCTGTCGTTCTCTCCCGCCTAGCACCCCTTCAAGCACAGATCCTTCAACTACTTTTACCAGCCGCCGTCGCACAGGGCCTCCCCACGCCTGCAAGGAGCAGCCCACGATGTCACATTCCAGAGCTGCTCCCATGGCGGCGCAGAGGGGTCTCGCCTGCCTTCCAGGTTAGCGGGGACCCGCCTCCAAACCCCAGATACACCCAGACAAGTGACTTCCCCAAGGCTCTGTGCGCCGCCCAGCCCCGACTCCTCCGGGGCCCTTAAGGCGAGGGGTCTGACCCCGCACAGGAGCTGAGTGGTCGAGCGAGCGGAAGGCACGGCCAATCGCATTTCTTTGTGCCCGGAAGGGGCGGGCCCGGGGGCGTGTCAGTGACCTAGCGGCGCGCGATTGGCGGGTCCCCGCGAGGGCCGCGGTGGCGGGAGTTTTTGGACGTGTTGGCGGCGGCCGGGGCTGCAGCGGTTGGGCTGAGCCGGGCTGCAGACGTCAGGAGGCTGGTCGCGCCGGACCCTTAGGCTTCCCGCCTGTGACTTGCCGAGCGACCGCCTTTTTTCCGTCCCCCGGAGCTGCGGGTGAGATGGACCGGCCCCGGCCCCGGCCGCACCACACGGCGCAGGGCTCCGCCGCCGGCGCCCCCTACCCCTCCTCCGCCTCGCTCCGCAGCTGCCGGGAGAGCAAGATGTCGCGCCGGAAGGGCCCCCAGCGCCCTCCGCCGCCCGGCGGCCCCGAGGTGCCGGGAGAGAAGCGCCCCAAGTTTGTAAGTTTCACATGGGGCTGGGGAGGGGCAGCTCCCGCCTGGCTGACCTGAGCGCCGCTCGGGTCCCGGTGTCCTAACATTTCTTTACAGTGGGTGGGTCCGCGGGGCCTGGCGGCTGAATTTTATTCCATGTTTCCAGAGCTGACAATCATTTTAGGCCGACTCGGTCCAGTTCTGTCTGGATCCTCAGACATGCACTGGTCATTGTGTTGCCCCACGTTTCTTAAGGCTGTTCATACGTGTATGTATTGACGTCACCTAGGTGGATGTTGTATTTTTTCTTTGTTAATTCTCCCATGAGGATATTTTTTTCCATTGCTTTTCAGAGAGAGTGGAAGGGAGGGAAGGGGGGTGGGGGAGAGAGAAACAAATTCCAATGAGAGAGAGACACAGCGACTGGTTGCCTTCCACACGCGCCCCAGCCGGGGAGGGGAGCGAACCCACAACCCAGGTATGAGCCTTTCACCGGGAATCGAACCTGCGACCCTTCGGTGAGCAGGAGGCTGAAACCCTCGGCCACATCGGCCTGGGTGATAGTGCATTTTGTAAAGTCCAACTTCTCCCCACACCCCTAGCATCTGAGGATATGAGACATATCAAAGTGAACTTTTAGGTGTTTTTTTCCCCTTAATATTTTAACCCAAGAAAAACTACCTCCCCCCCC